CAAGTCGCAGCCTAGAGTCCAGTTGTCAAGTCAAATCATCTCCAGGCATACGCAAACCAAGTGCGGTGGAACGTTTGGAAGCAGACAAGGCCAAGTACGTCAAGAGCCAACAGGTGGCTTTGAAGAAGCAGCAGCCAGTTATTTGTCCATCCAACAACAGCCAAAGTGGACAAGGTGCTCAACAGCCATCAAGGAAGATCCCTGCAAGACCTACAAAGTCTGAGACGCCACCCCTTAACCTGGAACATCTTTGCAAGCTGATTGATGGAGTCAGTGATGCCACAGTTCCAGTGGTTTCTACACAACCCAGCAGCAATGAGAAAGATGCTACAGATCCATGCAAGGCCACTTCTCCAACACTGGAAGAACCTTCTCTGGGGTCGACTTCTGCAAGTCAAGGAAAAGCTGCAGTAGAAGCCTCAGGGGCAAGCGGATGTCCTACCATGACAGTGCGGAGAGTCGACGTCAGACCCCAGTTACCTCAGATGAGGATGGCCGGTAGACCACAGCTACAGAACCGGCCACCAGTGCAACAGACCACACCTCAGGCCCCAATACAACTTCTGCGCTTGCTTAGACCGTACACACAACCAAATCAGCAGCCAATTGATTTCAAAAGGCTCCATAATGACACACAAACAAATGCCACCCGTGGACCTATTAAACCACCAAACTGTGCTGCGCAAACCTCACCTTCTTCCAAATCCCCAACTAGCCCACCTCTACCCCTCTCCATAAAACCAATCACAGAACCATTATCGTGTCCCTCACTGACCCCACTTACTCCAAACTCCATTGCTTCGCTCAAAAATGACTTCCAGTCCCCGCCATCTCCAGCCATCACTCGCCACTCCTCAACAAGCTCCAGGAAGCGTCCTTCCCTGACGCGCTCAAAATCTGACGTCAGCGACTGCTTTTCACGAGCAGGAGCAGAACTTGAGCGCTTCTTTAATTATTGTGGCCTTGACCCATCGGATTTAGAGGAGCTAGCGAGACCGCGTTCTGACATCGTGTCTGTTTCACGTCTACGTAGCGCCAGTGCGCCGGCATCTGAGCGTTTGGCTGAGGGTGAAGATGAGGAAGAAGCAGCAGCAAAAGATGAACGTCCTGTTTACGGTGTGTCGGTCATTGAGAGAAATGCTCGAGTGATCAAGTGGCTTTATGGGATGCGCCAGGCCAAAGAGAGTCCCAAAGTGTCCGATATGTAACAGACAACAAGGGACTAACAAACAACCACTATTCAGACTGAAATCAAATACAAAATATGTTGTACAAATTGGTTACTTCCCCATTCAGTATTTTGTCTCTCATCTGTATATTTTAGAGTTGTCTTGTTAAAACGGCTGTGCGTGTTTCATATATAATAGCTTATGCTTGTAGCCACCTATGTTCTCAAACAATAACTAAGCATGCATGGTTGCATGGTTATGGTTGGTGACCACCAATAAACTCTTAAACACAATGCATTAGTTGCATAGTTGTCTTTTCAGCAATGATAGGTTATACTTGACAGGCCAAATCAAACAATGACTTGATTTTTTTTATGCATGCAAAGGTACTTGCGTCATCCAAAAAATAATTTGTTTTACTGTTTACCTTATTGCAGCTAAGCTTTAATGATTGTTTTGAAATCTTGTATCATGCAGTGACAAAAATAATATGTGAATATTTTTAATGTTTGTCAATGTGTTAATACTCGTTGGTTCACTCAGTCGCATCCGATCTTTATTATGAGACAGAAGGAGGTAGGTAAACTTTGATGTTTAGGTAACATTTGGTGCATTGAACGCAATGGTACATAACATACTCCATGTATAATTTGAGCAGAAGTGAGCAGATTTAATCTGGTGAGGGGTCTGTCATCAAATAGCAGTCCAAAAACCAATGATGTGTTGTACTGACAAAAATGTCGCTTTAGCAAACTGGTCTTAAAGAATGGGAATAAAAATGAATTTACCTCCGAGCACTTCCGTTTTGTCATTGTTTACAATGAAACAGTTTGGACTGTTAAAAAAAGAACAGTTTGATTGGCTTTAATTGGGGTGGCGTCAAAACTGGTGTTTCATCTGGCATAAATATAGCATTTAAAAGAATACAGTATTTAAAGGTCACAAGTTTTCACTTAATCATCACTTCCTGTTATTATGGCCTGGAAAACTATGGGGGATGTAGTTACTTTTTTTAGACCACAGTTTTAACCTTGCTACTGTATATTTCCATTAAAGTTGTGGAAACACTAGCCTTCTCTTGTGCCCAACCCGTATATATTTTGTGGATGGCACAAGCATCCAGAAAAAACCTGGGTTTAATTGTTTTGTCCAGAGGGCAAAGTGATGAATATGGATCAGTGTAACTCTCCAGCTCATGGGTCACACTTTCTCAGGAGAGTAACTGAGAAGCTTTGGTTCCTCTAGACCTGACTATAGCTGAATTACTTTAAATTGTAGCATGACAAAGTACAGTATTAAAATTGCTTCTCCAACATTGAATAAAACTATGTAATTCCCGTGTCCAGCCTATTGTAAATTGCTCCCTCTGTAATGGGCACAATAATGGCTGCCGGCCATTTTGCATTGGCAACAGAGAAAGACAAGAGACCTCTGTAAGTTCTTCTTAACAAAGTGTTTTGTAACACACCCATACAGAGCATAACTTTTGTATGCGTTTTCATTTTTAAGAGGCCGACGTCTCTATCTTTGTTGCTCTTTCTGTGTCTTCACAATAAGGTGAGGCTTCCCCTTTCCAGAAAGCTGTGTTATGCAGTAGGTGGTGTACCGTATCAGATGACCAACATTGCTATGGGTTTTTCACTACAGATCTTTCTGTTAGATGTAGTGCAGGTAAGAATCTGCATTTTGTCACCTGAATTATGTAAATATGGATAAATAATGATTTATATAAATACATCCAAAAAAGCCAGCGCAGCCAATGTGACATCAGCCCAAAAAAACGAGGTCATTTCAGAGACTGAGCAACTTACATTTTGATGAAATATTATGTAATATGGAATAATCACAGAGGTTTATAATACCTGGAAAAAGCTACGAAAGATGGAAAAATTTAAGCCCATTTAACACTTTTTTGAGCCTACAAAAAGAACAGGGCATTGCCAAAACATCTACTGTAATATAATGAAACATTTGTTTAAAATTGTAATTAATTTTGCTCATTTTGAATGGCCATCTTTTTGGGATTTATTTATTTCAAGGAAAGTGTAGTTGCACTTTTCACTTTTCACTTTCGCTCCTTCCATGGTGGGTGGTAAGAGTTTGGGACATAAATGGTATAGCATTTTTTAAATAAAATAGTACTTATTAAAATCATATCATCACAAAAAAAAAAAAAATTCTGTTTAATGAGATCCTGATAACCCGCTCTTTTAAACAAATTCTGTTTGATTTGGAAACAAATTGCTCAGACCAGTTTTGTGAACTTATCCAATGGATTCATTAAAAATATGAGTTTCCATTAAGTAATTAAAAGACCATTTTCATAGATCAAGAGGATAAAAAAAAAACTACTATAGGTGTATATTAGTACTGTAATCACGATTAATCGCAACCAAAATAAAAGTTTTTGTTTAAATAATATATGTGTGTATACTGTGTATATTTATTATGTATATATAAATAAACACACATACAGTATATATATTGAAAATATTTACATGTATATGCATTTAAATATATGCATGCATGTGTGTATTTATCTCAAATATACACAGTACACACACATATATTATGTACACTAATACTTAATCTTTGCCCAGCACTAATATATATATATATATATATATACAGTATATATATATACACACTAGTGCTGTCAAACGATTAATCGCGATTAATCGCATCCCAAATAAAAGTTTTTGTTTAAATAATATATGTGTGTATACTGTGTATATTTATTAAGTATATATATAAATACAAACACATGCATGCATATATTTAAGAAAAATATGTTATGTTTATATATTTAATATATTTATATATAATATAAAATATAAGAATATAAATGTATATGCATGTAAATATTTCCATATATTATATAAACAAAAACTTTTATTTTGGATGCGATTAATCGCGGTTAATCGTTGCCCAGCACTAATATATATATATATATATTGTGTGATATATTACCTTAGTATTAAATAACACTGGAGTGACTGTAAATTTGAAATCTTTATCTGTTCTGACTTCCATTATGTTTGTTTTCTATTTTGGAAAGTAATGGAATTTTTTTTTCTTTTTTTATGATGGAGCAAATAGGGATGATGCAAAAGTAATTGCTACAATCTCCCATTCACCTTTATAACAGTTTACCCTGTTAAAGTTTACTTGTGTTCCAAGTGTGAAAAGAGTCCATTTACAACTTTACAAATAAAAAAATAAAAAAATCTCAAGCTTGCCATTTATGCTTTTAAACCATCTAGCCTCTGCACTATAAGTGCATCACTGTAAGCGCATTTCCTGTTTGTTTTTACACACTGACATATGATGATTCTAAAGTGAAGTGCGAGTTTCCCACACTTGCATGAAATCAGAAAAATAGTTTAGGCTGCTTTACCCTGCTTGACATGACTCATCTGGTTGTTCCTGTCTCAGGGCTGTGCTGTCAATGCCATTGGCCATTCTCGCTTACATCTTCCTTTGGTTCATACCCCACAATGCCGTGAGTTCAGCGTTCAGTGTGCCCTGGTACCTAACCATCAGCTGTCTTTTCGAGACATTCATGAGTGTATGACTTCCTTCTTTTATTCTCTCAATCACTAACACATGCCCTGTCCTTTCTCCATGTGATGCTTTTTATGTAAGAGCCAAATTAGCCGGCTTATATTAGCAGCACTCTAGTGTTCATTATTGAGGTCAAATGGCTGTTACATCACACAGCTCCCCCGCACGTCTTTCATGTGCTGACTCCTTCAAAGTGAATGTTCTGCTCCCTGCAGTGCTACAGTGTTCCATGCACATCCCTCAACATGTTTCTGGGAGGAGATCAACAAGACAGAGACTCTGCCACAGCTTACAGTGAGAACACTTCAATCGTCAGATTTAAATATTCAAACTGTGTCATCATTTTCTCATTGTTTCAAACCTGGCATTTCTCCATGAAAAAAGGAGAAATTCTGAGGAAAGAGCAGGCAGAACATGCTTCACATATTCATCTTCTGTGTTCCACAGAAGAATTACAGAAACACATACAGGTTTGAAACAACACGAGAGTTGTCTTTTTACTATTTTACTATTATCCAGTGTTTGTTTGTGCTATGCATTTTTATGCCTTAGAATATTGTGTTCCTAGATTAGTGAATGTAAAACATTGTTGCAGTGTTGTTACTGTTAACTAAAACGTATTTAAATTTAAATTTGTTTTATTTGAAATCAATTAAAATATAAATATTAGATGAAAAAGTTCAATAAAAAAAAAACTTTCCGAAAAATTTGCTACATTTGTCAATTAACTGAAATAAGTATTACTTGAAGTCCTAAAATTACTAAAACTAAAAACTAGAATAAATATAAAATAAAGCTAAAATAAAGTAAAAACTAATAAAAAGTCCAACGCATATCAAAATGATTAATTAAAGGGATAGTTCACCCAAAAAAGAAAATTCTGTCATTAATTAAAAATTACAGTTCAACCGTAATTTTACAAAGCTACGAGAATACTTTTTGTGCGCAAAGAAAACAAAAATAACGTAAACAATATATGCTGTTCTGTGTCAGCTGCGCCACGCGGAAACGCTGTTTATGTTGTTTGCGCTTTTATCTGAATGTAAACAACTTATCCGCGTACATGCGTTGCATATGTTGTTTACGTATGTGATACTCTCCAAAACGGCACTATAGGGTGACGTGGAGGAGACGAATTGTTGAATAAAGTCATTATTTTTGTTTTCTTTACACACAAAAAGTATTCTCGTAGCTTCATAAAAATACGTTTGTACCATTGATGTCACATGGATTATTTTAACGATCTCCTTGCTACGTTTCTGAGCTTTGATCATGTACGGACCCTTGCTGTCTATGGAGGGTCAGAAAGCTCTCGGATTTCATCAAAAATATCTTAATTTGTGTTCTGAAGATGAATGAAGTTCTTACAGGTTTGGAACGACATGAGGGTGAGTAAGTAATGACAGAATTTGAGCTATCCTTTTAAAATTTAAAATGACAATATAAAAATAAGATCTAATTCAAAATAGTATGAATAAATACTACAGTTGTATATAATGATACTAAGGCAACACTGCTCTGTTGGAAACAATTGTCAAGTCTCCTAACCCGGTGTCGTGAACAAATATCTCCATTTAGCAATCGCATCGGTCGAAAGGTCTTTTAATAGGTTCTCTATCTAGTGCCTGATCAGAAAAAACATAAAGTCAATGTATGATGATTTTAACTATGTAATTATGACCAATAATTTCTTATGAAATTATATACTATTACATATAATTACAAAGCAATTGAATGTGAATTTAAATATTTCTTATTATTATTTAGTCAGCATACTGCTAGCACGTTAGTCTGTTAGCTTACATCTCATATTACCTTTGATCAAATGGTAATATGATAAAGTAATGCAAATAATACAATGCAAAACAATACAACTGTAATATCGTTCAAAAGTCTAGCAGCAGTAAGGTTTACTTACTGAATACTTTCATTCAGCAAGGATGCATTTTAAAGGGGTCATATGATGCTATTTTAAAGATCATTATTTTGTGTATTTGGTGTAACAGAATATGTTGACATGCTTTAATGTTCAAAAAACACATTATTTTTCAAATACTGTACATTATTGTAGGTCCTCTATGCCCCGCCTCTCTCAAACACGTCGTTTTCAACAAAGCCCCCTCCTTTGACAAGCACAGTCTGCTCTGATTGGCCAGCTGAACCAGTGCATTGTGATTGGCCGAACACAACAAGCACGCGTCGGAAATGAAATTGCATCATATGAC